CATAATGGTGCAAAAAGTCCCTCTTAAACTCACCTGATACTACAGTAATTTGTCTGACCGGACCTTATTTATTCCCTAACACATGGCAGATTTCAACATGATGGTGGACTGTTTTAACACAACACCAATAGCAAAGCAGACAGTGATACTTTTAATTACTATATTAATAACTGTGTATAGTTAATTAGACGGTTGGTAAAAAATATACTTATATATGTTTCAAACAGCAATAAACATCTTAAAAGAACTACAATTATATAGAAAGAAGGTGGGGAAGGGGTGTTCTACTTCATATGGGGTCCACCCAGATAATGGGCCCATTGTTGTGTCGTTACGCCATTGACGATTACCATATTAGGGCCCAACATCCACACAGCCCAACAACATGCAGGACGCTTAGCATTTGCCAGCGTCCTCCTAGGTTCCACTTAATGCAGATCAATGCTAGACCTCATGTGGTTGGAGGGTGTCAGCAGTTCCTGCAAGGTAAAGCCATTAAAGCTACGGACTGTCCCCAGACCTGAATCTGATTGAACACTTCTGGTACATCATGTATCGATTCATTCACCAACTTCATGTTGCACCACAAACTGGCTAGATGTTAGCAGGTGCTTTAGTCCAAATCTCGGAGGAGATCCCTCAGGAGACCTTCCACTACCTCATCAGGAGTATGTCTAGGCATAGTGGGGAGGTCAGTGAGGCATGTGGAGGCCACCCACAATACTAAGCCTAATTTCGACCTTGTTTAAGGACATTATATCAAAGTTGGATCACCCTTTAGTGTTTTTTTTGCATTTTTATTTTGTGTGTGGGTCCAAATCGAGGTCTCGATTGGCTAATAAATGTGATTTCCATTGATAATTTGTGTGTCACTTTGTTTTTCAGCATATTCAACTTTGTTCAGAACAAAGTATTCAATAAGAATATTTCATTCATTCAGATCTAAAATGAGTTAATTGAGAGTCCCCCCTATTTTTAGTAGTGTATATTGCAAAAGTATTTCTGAGTACATTAAATCATTGAAACATGAAAAAAAAGTTGAATTACATGTGCCATTGATTCCAGTTGCAACAGGTGCAGTGGTCATATAATTCCCTGTGATCATTAAACTTTAAATACATTTTAGCACATAATTCTCTCAGTTCTTGAATTTAATTAGATATTTTACATTTTGTACTACATTTCATTACATTTATTAGGATAGTATGTCATCAGCCAGCTGTTGGAACGATAGCCACTACATTCAAATTTAATTAAAATGATTCAGCTTTTAAAATATTACGAACATGTGGGGTATAAAATTCTCCATGATAAATGTAAAGGGACTGTGCCCTAGTGAATCCTCTTTCTAGAGTGAGCATTGGGAATGTTGATGAGGCCTTAAAGGAAGCTTTGTCTCTGTCTGAACTCAGGGTCATGGTACTCCCCTCTCCTTTTGCATTCACACACACATGCCTTTCTCAGTCACTGTGAGGACAAAAAGAGTTTTCAGCCATTAATTCCAAACTTAACCTCTAAAACAAACTTAATCTTTGGTCTAAACTCAACCATAAACAATTATAACCAAAGTTAAAATGAAAACTATTCTAAAACCTTCTTATTTTAGTATCTCAGAATACCCCCCAGTGTCTGGAACTAAAATGGGTTCTTATAAAGATAGATGTACAACTGCACACACAGACAAACAAAGGGAGGGACAGAGCTGAATCCCCCAGGGACACCCTGCTGCTGTCCTGAATACCAATGAGGAAAATGGGAGGCAACAAGTGTGAAATTTCAGCAGCAGCTATTCAGCTTTAGGGTCCTTGTTTTAGATGATACAAGGCAAAGAACAAGATTAGACTTATTTAACTTTGCTTGCACATTATACTGTTTAGTTTAACATTTACTGTAGAACATCATTGTGCAGTAATTCGTGAAAAAACGAATAAGAAGCCCTAACCTACTTTCAATGGTATTTTTATGAAATCTGTCATTTAAACTCTTTACTCATGTCAAACGTATATATATATATATATATATATATATATATATATATATATATATATATATATATATATATATATATATATATATATATATATATATATATATATATATATATATATATATATATATATATATATATATATATGTATGTATGTATATATATATATATATATATATATATATATATATATATATATATATATATATATATATGCCACTGTTCAGCAAATCAGCATGCATCTTGAAATCAAACTGTTTCAAATCAGAAATACTTTTAATCATTGCCGAAGATACTGCACCCTAAATGTTGTTGGAGTTCACATTACGTAGATTTCTTGAATAAGGTGTGTAGATAAAGATGGCTGTGGGTAGGACCTCATGCCTGACAGTATAAAAAACCCATCCATCTGACTAAAGATGCTATGTTCTTGCATGACATGTTGAATGATATGATACATTTTGCATTTTATAAAAAATCCTTATCAACCCTCATGCATTCTTACTTGTTATCTGTGAGCTGTGTTGCTTATACCATTCATGATAATTCTCTGGTTAAACAAAATCCCAATTTATTCCTGAATTCATTTGTGGCAAATGGTGATTTCTGAACAGAATGGCTTTCTCCCCAGTATGGCATGATTTAGTGGGTACAACAAGGTAAAAGAACCAGAGTTCTTTGTAAACCTTTAATTATACCCCAATACTTCCCCTTAACATGCACCCACCCACAGCCACACCTCTTTAACTAAGTATACAAGACTGGAGTAAAAATACTATGATCTTTACTAAAAGGGTCAGAGCAGACTCTGCCTGCTAAAAAGTGTAGGGTTTTTGGAAGGAAGGGGCACTCCTTTAGACCCACCTATATGGCATATACACAATAACTTTAGCAGTGTCAAAGTATCACTTTCAGAGTACATTTGGTCCCACTTGGAACCATTGTTAAAATAGAATTGTACATAGTGTATATCTTACTCCAGTTGTTGATAGAATAACTCTTAAAAAGAGTCAATGTACTTTGACACTACATATTGAACACTGTGGAATTTACAGTGTAGTTTGTTGGATTGAAAGCTTAACTACACCTGAGTGGAAGCAATTAGATTAATTCATCTTTATGGTGGCCCTTAGGGGTCAGCAAACCTTACATCTCTGAACTAGGATGCATCCTGATCATAGACTGTAAAGAAACACCTTTAGAAATGACAAACCTTCCCAAGGTGAGACAATAAGCTCTAAATAAAAAATATGATTCTTATGAACTTTAAGATTCGTAGTTTATTTCTTACCTTTTATAAGTCCCCATTACTTCCACATACAGCAAACTTTTCTTATTTTATTTTTTTTACACTGCAGTGCAGGTGGTAGCAGAAAGACGTGAGCGAAAAACATCACTTGTTGGGCAATGCCTCTAATCCCATGAAAAGCAGAGCTCCATTAGTGAAAAACTGTGGCACCCTTGGTGCACCAAGCAGGGTTATCACAGTGTCTTTCTCCCAGAAGTCATTAAGAAATTCAATAAGCTGTCTATTTTTCTGCTGAATACATTCATTATCATTTGTAAATGGTATGTTGCTGTTTTTAATGCACGATTATACATGCACATTTCTAGATTTGTAAAATCAGAATACAAAAAGGGAAATTTTCATTTCTTCTAAGCCTGTGGTTTTCTGATAACTGTAAAATATTTTTTCTTCTATTGCACAATGTCACCATTCTTATCCCTAAATTACCATGGTGTGAAAATAAATTGAATAAAACCCATGGAAAAATAAAAATATTCTGCCGAAACTGTTAGCTCTCCTTTTTTTACAATTCATTTTTCAAAGCTATTCATTTGAAACTGTGACAAGTAGAACATTGAAGGATGGAGCAAAGTAAAACTGTGCTTCAACCAAAGGGGGCATGTTTTTTTGTTGTTGGGATGTGTGTGAGGCTGTTGGTGGGGGGTGGTGGCCCATGGAACCATTCTTGAGAAATTCACCCCTTTCACTGCAAAAAAATCAAAAACTAGATGAGTAATTTCTTCTTAAAATAAGAGTATTTGTTCTTGAATTGAGGAGATAAAAGAGACGTTTTGCCAATGGAACAAGACAATTTACATTTAAAATAAAAAAAACACACAACACAACTGCTTTGTCTTATTTCAAGTGCATATTATCTAGACAAAGATATTATTAGACAGTAAACTTTGAATCAATTTGACGGTCTGATATGGTGAACTGTAAAGTGCCTTGAGATGACATGCGTTGTGAATTGGCGCAAAATAAATAAGCTGAATTGAATGGAATTATCTTATTTTAAGAGTTACACTGAGCAGGCTGCACCGCTGCCTTGCAGCAAGAAGGTTCTGGGTTCGATTCCTGGACCGGGGTCTTTCTGCATGGAGTTTGCATGTTCTCCCTGAGCATGAGTGGGTTCTCTCCGGGTACTCTGGCTTCCTCCCACAGTCCAAAAACATGACTGTTAGGTTAACTGGCCTCTCTAAAGTCCCCTTAGGTGTGAGTGTGTGCGTGAATGGTTGTTTTTGTCCTGTGTGTCTCTGTGTTGGACTGGCGACCTGTCTAGGGTGTACCCTGCCTCTCGCCTGTAGACAGCTGGAGATAGGCACCAGCACACCTTGCTTAATCCCTAGTGGGATTAAGCATGTCAGAAAACGGATGGATGGATGGATATTTTAAGAGTGAATTTATCTACTCAAATCAATGGTAAATACACCTAATTTAAGACCTTTTTTACTTATTTCTAGATCGTTTTTACAGTGTTGACACTTTGATCTAAATTGGTGAACCTTTTTACAAAATAAAAAAATTCTTAGACGTAGAGTAAAACCAATCTGTAGGCTGCTATTTGACCTCGGGTTTATTTATTTATTCAGCTTTCTAAAGCCACTGGTGTTCACGCAGAGCTATTTGGTTTCCCTACATTATTAATAGCCATCGTTTTGGCTGCAGCTCCAACCTTTGACGACTTACAGGGGTGACGAGAAAATACCCTGATCGGATGTTCCAATCAGGAGCGACTGTAAATAGAAAGTCAGTAGTAAGATACAGGGGAGGGGAGGGGGGTAATGATGACGATTATGATGATCAAGCCACGCTGACAACAGCTCCTCCGTCTGTCGCCCTTTTGCGTCTGTCAGAAACCGAGGATATCGCGCCACTTTGACCCGATTAGGACTCTGAGTTGTTCCGCTGAAGCGCAGCGAAAAGTGCGCACCTGGTCAGCGCCGCCTTATCCTACACTTAAAGTTTTTGCTCCTTTAAGTGAAGAATGAAGCTTGGCGTGAGTTTGTTTTGCCTGGGGAATATGAACTGAGCCGTGCAGTGAAATACCAGAGGAAACATCAGGGAGGACAACCGGGTGGGTGAGCTGTGAAATGTTTGTGCGCTTCAGTTTCAGTGCGTTTAAAAGACATATAACATACAAGAGGAAACACTTCAAATGGACAGTCTAGAATGCCTAAAGTGTCAAATAAGCAAATAATATGTTATTCATTTACATTTTAAATTCCTAACTCTAATACTTTGTTCTAAATACTTATTGTAGATGTGCTATAGTTAGGGCTGCAACTAACGATTATTTTAAAAATCGATGAATCGGACGATTATTTTTTCGATTAATCGATGAATCGGACAAAAAATATTTTTTATATTAACCTCTTTATTCCAAAATAAACATTTTAGACAGAACAAACAAGCACACAAGTACAGGTTGCTCATTAACTTTACTGGTGTAATATGAAAAATAAATGTGTTAAAACTACACAAACTTACATGAGAAATGTAGCTGTACATCCACAAAATATAGGCTACTTTGTTTCATAAAGCGCAAAAAAAGACAGGCATTTTTGTTTTTAAAGCCCCTAAGGAGTTCAAACAATAGGCCCCCCCATTTCAACAAATTAGTTTTTTTAGACTAGAAGAGTTCTGCCTTTTAAGACAGGAAAGTATAGCAGTTAAAGTTGCTACTTGAGAAAATACTGAACCATAGAGATAAAAATAGCCCTGTGATTCAAATTATAAATTGTATTTGGAATAAAAATGAGAGAACTAGGGGTGCTAAAAAACACATCCTCCAAAGACAGATATTTACATGGGAATGTGGCATATAATTGACATATTACTGATCTTGCTGGATTTTATTCTGCTTTACTTCCATAAATTGCAGGATCTTCTTTACTTTATCTTTGCCAGAAGATTTAAACTTTAAAAGCCTTGCCCTCATAATTTGCAAGTTAATTTATTTATAAAGTAAATATAAACGCTGCTTAAGCTAATTCAAATGAAATTAAAAGTAAAATAAGTAGCCAACCTTATCACTGTCTGTAACCTACTAACACGGTAAGGAAAGCATCAGATGAGCTACCTGAGAAACTAACGTTACGTTTCCCCACTTTCCCCACTTTAAAACCAAACAAACACTGCACCTGCGGCGCTGACTCGCTCTGCCATATTTTTTTTTCTTCCTCTTTCAGTCAAGAGGCAGTGATGACGGCGCGGCGGATGACGCAATAATCGCGCGACACAACTAATCGATGATGAAATTCGTTGCCAACGCTTTTAAAAGTCGATTTTTATCGATTTTATCGATTCGTTGTTGCAGCCCTAGCTATAGTGCACCAAAATATGTCAAACAATAGTCAAATGGGTATAAAAAATAACTAATAATACTGCAAAATAATTAACTGTAGGTATATATTTGTGTTATTAAATTGCTTAAAGAGTTTTACACTTTATATTTTTCAGGCTGACTCCATCTTTCCTGTTAGAGGTTAAGTGTTTGATACCATTAACAAAAGAAAATGCTGCTCCACCTTAAATGACTTACTTCAATTGGTAAGAAGTAACTGAATCAAGCTGATCCAACGTATTGTTTTATTTCATAAATTGGAAAATTAAATACATTTGGGCAAATTCAATTACCTGTTACCAATTGACACAATATATTTAAGTTGGTGCTGCATTTTCTTTTTAGAGTGATGTATACATTCAATATAGCCTACTCTTTTTTTTATCAAGGCATAGCAGGAAGACAAGTGCTGATAACATAAGTGGAGAAAATACAAGAATGGTACATTGCAGTGGCATAACAGAGGAAAGTGAGGACATACTAGATCGATATTAATGATGTTTAAGTTTAAATGGAAGTCAAGTGAAACTCTAAATAAATGAGAAGGGTTTTCATCCACATTATTAAAAAAACAACAGGATTTTAGCAGTTTTCTGGATCCTTTTTCCATCTTGGCAGAGGATTCAAATTTAATGCTGCTTCTTCAGTTCCGTGGATGCAGACTTGATCTAAACGACTTTTGTGGACCTGAAGGTTGAACTAGCCCAGTCTTTAAAGGAATAGTACACCCAAAACATGATTAGCCTTCATTTTCTACTCACCCCCATGCTGAACAACACTCTGGAGTACTTTTTTGATATCTCAAATGCATCTGGAGATCTGGGAGGCTTCTTGCTGTCTGCTGACATTCAAATAATGGAGGTCTATGGCGCCCGAGACAGAAAGGCCCATAAAAGTCCATAAAAACGTGTCAATATTCCTCCATACTGCTCGTCCAATGTATTCCAAGTGTCCTGAGTGGGTAGCGTCCATAATTTACTCGAAACGAAGTCATTTAGAATGTTTTTAGAGCATAAACAGTAGTGTATAGGATTTCCTAATAGCGCCCCCATGCGCGCTCACGACGCTACGGAAGCCGGCAGACCAAACCAGCGCATTCAGCTCGGCAAAGAACTCATGCTCTTCCTCAACACTGAAGTCCTCAGACATTTTTCTTTCGTTGTTTCTTTCTTTGCACAGGTAAACAGCACATTTCTTCTTCTACGCTTGCATTATCGGCAGAGCAGACGCTGAATGCGCACTTCCTTCCGGTTTGGTCTGCCGGCTTCCGTAGAATCGTGAGCGCGCATGGGGGCGCTATTAGGAAATCCTATACACTACTGTTTAGGCTCTAAAACGTTCTAAATGACTTCGTTTCGAGTAAATTCTGGATGCTACCCACTCAGGACACTTGGATTACATTGGACGAGCAGTATGGAGGAATATTGACACGTTTTTGTGGACTTTTGTGGACCTTTCTGTCTCGGGCGCCATAGACCTCCATTATTTGAATGTCAGCAGACAGCAAGAAGCCTCCCAGATCTCCAGATGCATTTGAGATATCAAAAAAGTACTCCAGAGTTTTGTTCAGCATGGGGGTGAGTAGAAAATGAAGGCTAATCATGTTTTGGGTGTACTATTCCTTTAATGTATTTTTGTGCCAAGCAATTCAGTTATTTCTAAGCTAAGGTAATATAAAGTCTATATAATCTCAAATACAGGGAGCCACTGTATGATCTTTAAAACTGTGGTAATTTTCTCCATCTTACAAAAGAAATGGGTTTCTGATAAGATAAAACCATAAAATCTAAGTGAAAAAGTACTTAGAGTAAATAAAATTATCTGTCAATGCACCAAGATAATTTGCCTTGACAATATGTCTTGAGATTATCGTGTAAAGTTTGTCACTAAAACAAAAAAATTAAGTATTATAACAAGATAAATTATCTTAACAATTGAATCTAAAGTTGTTCAACAGAGTGCACCATGTACAGGTTACAACTTTTGACAGTTAAACCAGTTCAGTTTATAGTAAACAGCAGTGAATCACTATTTACTGTTCTTCCCAGCTACAGAGTCACAGAAACAGTCAGCATCTTTGCCATAAACACTGAATCTGCATAACCATAACAATTTAATCAGTGTCCTTGAACACATACTCCACTTCCTCCTTCCTCAGTAGCAGATAGCTTCATGGTGTTGCAAAGTTCAGCTAGTACATAGTTATTAAACAGTTTTATTTTTTATTACAAAGTAAAAAGGTCTTAATTGAGGAATTTTTCTCAGTTTTTTAGGATCCTACTTGCACACCCAGCCAGATTAAATCTGATAGCCCAGGTGACCCTGCAGGTGACACTTTTATATGGACTCTCCTGTTTTCCATGTGGTCATATTGAGCATACAGCACATTTGCATGCGGAGCCCAAACATGCACATGGATGCATTACATACGAAGCATTTACATCTGATTATTTTCATGTTTACCCAACAGCCATTACATCACACAGTGTCACTATTCATACACAGAGGCTAGCTTTCGTACTATTGTTGAATTACAGTGTTTTTTGTCTCCAGTTTCAGACATTATAGACATCAGAGCATGTGACTGCTTACCGCTGGATCCAATCTTCGTTTTGTCTGCGGCCTTTAGAAGCATGTTTGCATGTGGTAGCAGTGGCACATTTAAACGCTGGGATCTTTTAACCTTTAAATCAACAACATCAACATTTAAGCACTTTCACTTCTCTTTCACTTAACTGGGAGACTGACACATGATTATCAGGAACGATGAGCTAGTTGAAGTGAATCCTTTAGCAACATTGTTTAACCATTACCATTTGAACATTGCAAAGCCTCACTTTTATGAAATTAAAAAAATACAAAAAGCTTAACTACAGTAAAATCTAAAATTCCATTAAACATTTTTTAAGTTTTATCTTTACTAAAATGTTATCTGTGGACAAGCAACCTCCACCACAGTGGAGAATTGTACAATGTATAAATTATTTTCGGGGGAGTTTTTACAAAAAAAATGAAGCCAATCTTAAAAGTGCGGAGTACATTTGTGTTCCAACCTATTAAATTCAACATTTAGTCATAACATTTAATTGTTGAGATTGCTTAAGAAATGTTAAAATTTGGCTCTCTGACTCTGTCCCATTATGTTAAGTAAATAATTAGTCGTATTTGTGCTTTGCAGCCCCGCTCATGGCTACTACAGCTTGGTATGTTCAAGATGTGTGCCTGCAATAGCAGGGCACTAGCTTGAATGCTACTAACTTTTAACTTAATCAGTTCAATGCTCTATATTCATCACCAATTGGACTGTACATGTTCTACATATAGAAAGCAGGAGGGATCACAAAGGCAGGCAAAATGTTCTCTCTGCCTCTTTTTCTCTTTCTCCTTTTCTATGGCTTTCACTGATACAACAAAGAACCATTTTGGCACAACTGCGGTTGCAACCCTTTTTAGATATTCCAAAAGCTTTGCTCTGAAAGAAACAGTAACCTTTCACTATCCCAGCTGTGTAAAATACTGAATGGGGTGATGAATATCAATCACTAAAGTCTTGCCAAAGATTCTTAAAGTAGTTGGACGTAGATAAAAACATGCATACTGATCTAAATCTTTCAAAAGGACTCTGTCTTTATGTTAAGTCCAGTTTTTTCTAGATACCTTTTGAGGCCTCTTTCCTCGCAGATTCTCCTGTATTTAGTACTATTCATAATCCTGACTCTGATTGGTGTAGGGCCTTATCTTAGACATGTAGGAGTTCTTCATTTTTTGATGATTGCTCTGTAAGATGTTCCACATTCTTGATATTTTTTTTTTTAACCAAACTCTCCTTCAAACTTCTATAAACTTTTATTCTTTCAGTCTGGTTTCTTTGTTGGACTTGGGTCGCTGTTTTTTCAGCACTGTTTTCTAACAAAAGTCTTAGGCCTATATAGAGTAGCCTGATTCATACTGAGATTAATTTACACACAGGCAGACTCAATTCACTAACAAGGAGAGTAAAGGGAGCTGACTTCAAATGCCCTTTAACTGCCATTAAATATATATTTCTATAATATTTTAAAATGAGGTTTCCTTTTGCTTATATTTTATTAACTAGATAAGTTTGACCAGGAGCTATGAGTTGTATTAGATTTTATCCAGTGGAATCAAAGGAAAGAACTTTTGATAGAGATGGGCTCCACAATTTGTCATAAGTTAAAACATTGAAAGCCATTTATTAGTTTAATTTAGCTTTATAATTATGCACTAATTTGTGTTTATGCACTGAAGTTTTTTCTTCTCACAAAATGTGGAAAACGTTTAAATGGTATGAATACTTTTACAAGGCTGAATAATAAAGTGTGATTTCTCTTGCGAGTGAAAGCTAATGAGCCTTTTAATGATCCAAACATGAGCCACGATCACTTTGGGAAGTGTGCATTTGCAAAGAGTGCTACAATTTTAGATCATGAATAACTGTGCGACTCGCCTTGTCATGGCCCACTGATTGTTTGAAATTAAAATGAGTGCGCCAACAGCCCTCTGTTTTAATATATTTCTCAAACTCATTGGTTTCCCTCACCTCAACAGTATATACAGACTTTTTCTCATCACCTCCGTCTGTCTGACATCTAATATCATAAACATTTCTCCATAAAGGACGAAAACTGTCATCTCAATATTTAATGTTTTCTCAATTCAGACCAAAAGAAACTATATGTTTCAAAAACTGGCTGCAAAACTGTGAGAACAGTTAAACTGACAGTTTTGACAGTTAGTGATTATGAAGGAAATTTTCCCTCCACAATAATGCCACCAGCATCCTGAGAGGGGACCCATCTGCTCCAAACAGAGAGCAAGTTTAGAAGCTGGCAAGCAGATCAAATGCATCACTGCCACTTTCCACAGCTTAGTGATCCATCTTTATTTGGCTTGGTCATAAAATGCCTATAAAGGGAAGGATAACTTTAAAATGACTCCTGAACATCAGGAGGCGACTTGGACTGTTGCAATATTGCCACCAGTTGGGGAGAAAAAGGAAATATAAGATCTCATTAGAAATGCATTAGGACGGAAGGGAGGAAAGCTTTGAGCTGTAGAGACGAGCTAGCATTCTTTTATCTATTGAACTCGAAGTAGGAAAATATTCACACTTTTCATCTCACTGATGTACCAACCTTTTTCCTCTCTCACTGTATTGTTCTTTCCCACCAATAAACCTCAATTGTCGATTTAATATCAACCACAAAACAAATATTTTCACAAGCTTTTAAGCTGGAAATTAGTCAGTGTCATTCTGAACAATTGCAGCTTTTTTTAACAGTTAAATAACTTTCTTACTCTCCAAACAGATGAAGTTATAACTAAGAGTCTTCTATATCCATATGTTATTTTTACATTTTTATAAGAGTTTTCTTGACATGGGGGTGGGGGAGGGGGTGCAAATGCCACAGAAAGACTACTTTCTCCTTAAAATAACCCTTTTTTACAGCCGTAAAACAAAATGTAGGTTGCTCCATATAAAGTACCTGTTCAGAATAAAGCTCAGAGCCTCGTGACTAACCGTTAGGGAGAAGGTAATCTTTACCAGAGGACTTAGCATGTCTCTGTCACAGGCAGGTTTGCTGTTGCCAAGTGTGTCACTTTCACAGAGTTCCTTGAGAAGTATTCATACCTGTTTATTTGTAGCCACAATGTAAGATATAGTTTGGATTTCATGATCAACCAATACATTGTAGCGCATAGTTGTGCACAAAAGAAATGATTTATGGTTTAATCCATCAACAGAAAATAGCACAGCACAACTCCAGACCTACTAACACAGGGCTGTCCACCTGAACTGACAGCACAGGAAGGAGGCATTAATCAAGGAAGCACCCAGAAGGGCCAAGGAAAGACTGGAGAAGCTGCAGAGATGTAGAGTTTGAGCAAAATAATCTGTCTGTGGCGAGAAGACTTTCATTAAAGGAAAACCAGAAGAGTTTCCTTTTGTGGTTTGCCCAGTGCCAAGTAGGCATCCAGCAATCATGTGAAAGGTGTTGCACTGGATGGACAAATTTAAACCTTTTTTGGCCATATCATCAACAGTAAAAAAAAAAAAAAATGCACATTAACCCAAGTATGGAATATGGTTATGCAAACATTGCTGCACAAATGCTTTCATTAATAAAGACAGAGCTAAATACTGGGCAATCGATTCAAAGACAATGAATAAGAAGACTTCTTATCATCTGGTGCTATGTGTTGTAGGTCAATGGGTGTGGTAGCTTGTTTGACCAGTCTGGAGTTTTACTACACATATGTAAGGTAACATTATTCATTTGGAAAATTTCCATTACTACAGTTTAAGTTAAGGTAGTGGGTAAGGAAAGTTACTAATCTTAGTTTCTTGGCTTAAAGGGATTAGATCACCAGGTAGCAAGAGAAACTGGATTTGCCACAGACAGAGTAGAGTAGAGGAGCACAGCACTCATGTCAATAATGTAACAACACAACTGCTAATGTGACTGCCTCTTTGGGCATAAATGTAAGTGATTTGTAAGACTTGTTGTTTTCGACTTTAATATTAATAATAATAATAATTGAACTTTATTGATCTCACATTGGAGAAATGTATTTCTGCATTTAACCCATCCCCTTGGGGAGCAGTGGGCTCTTTTGCATGGGGGTTAACTTTAAGGAAAATAAAACTTTAGAAGACATCCTTATCCTTAGGGACTCTTTCTTGTTTGTTTGCTTTTTGTATTACAACAGATGTTTACCTTAACATGCATGCATGGCTTTAATGGTTAATACAAAATCTGCAATGGTTAATACAAAATCACCCATTAGAATGACGAAAAATCCAGATCCAACTCTTAAGTGAGAGTTTTCTGCAAAACCTGAGGATTGATGTTCACTGTCCAACCTGTCTCAGCCTATTCTTTTTTGTGAATAAGAAAAAGGGAAAACTTTGTCTAGCTCTGAAAAACTACTGGAGATTTGGAGATGTAAGTGCATTAAAGTTGGTTCTACAAGGTTTTAGGTTTATGGTGCTGAATACAAATACACTGCAAAGCCTTGATTTACTTTGTGTGGATCTTTCACACAAAATTTCAAATATAAATGTTAGATGTTATGTTTATATCGTGAGATCTATAAAGTTTCAAGTATTATGAATATCTCTCTAATGATCTGGTTTAGCTTCTACAAAAATAAATCTTGTATGGCTATTTATATGAATTTCTTTTCTTTCCACTTTAGGGATGATTTCCAGAAATGATGAGAGTAATGGGACACCTTCACTCCTCCTCTGAGGCTTAATGCGAGTGCTGCCCAAGCATGGAGCACGATCTGAGTATGGGTCTGTCTCTTTGGGCAGTCGTGGCCATTGTTTGCAACTCTGTTGTGGGTCTGCTCATCCTCATCCTCTTTGTTGTCCTCTACAAAGCCTGCAAGGTGCCCTCAAATCAAGAGAAAGTCCTGTTTTTTGCTGCAAGGCTGGACCAGAAAACAGCAGAGGAGAAGTATATACTGACTGCAGCCTGACAGAGATCCTGAAAATTTGTTAATATGATGAAAAAAAAGGCAAGTTAGTATATCAGAAGTGGACAAGCCTTTGCAAGCTTTTCAGTTTTTCTCCCCCTCCTTCTGCATTGGGTTTTCACCCTGTTTACAACTCTCCACCATCATCCCCATCTCACCTGTGACATTCGGTAGAGCTCAGAATAAGCTAACTGAGTTAAGATTTGAGGCAAGACCAACAGCAACAACAACAAACGAGGCCCAAATCCTCTTATCTCCGCTGTGCGTCGCTGGGACTGTCCATCTGTCAGTCGGTTTGGCCGGCTCCACACAAGCAGATCTCCATCTCCTCCTCCTCCTCTGCTCCAGCCTTTCTCATCTCTCCACGCAAGACAGCTGAGAGGATGTGGAGATTGAAACAGCAAAAGTGCAATGAATTGCAATATAGGAGTTGGGGTTTATAAGGCTAGTTGAAAAGCAATGCAATTTTTTTTTAGAAAAAGCAATAAAATAAATAGCTGTGTAGCTCCCAAGCAGTTTGCAGTTTAACTGCGGTGCTAATGATGGATGCAACAGAGCAGCAAACACACACAACAGGTAGATACCCCTGGCCTGAAGAAGGAGGCAGGGAGCACAGACATTGCTGCAGGTTGTCTCTGTTATACGACAGATGGAGATAAATTCTGGTTTATATTTGGGGAGAAAGGAGATAAAATTCAAGGGAAGAATTTGAAATAGGACACTTTGATGTTTTGTTGACGGAAAAGAGAGCTTGAGGGCTCTGTTTGACAGTCTCGCACTGATCCAGCCCCCACCGGATTAAAACCCGCCGCAGAAGTAAAACTTACAACACGGTTGCTTATGTTCTGCTGTGCCTTTCTTTTATTCTTTCAGCTCCTATAAAGGCTGAGCAAGATGCTTATGGACAGGCATCATCAAGGCTGACTGAAAATAAAACACATAGCCTCAATTTTCAAAGTAAATGTTATTTCTGTTGTAACAAAGCTTGTGAAAAAGTGCAGCATTTACAGTAGATACTGTTCTTCTTGTTAAACAGGTTTTGTTTTGATATATTAAAGGGCTCTGTGAAGATATGTGAATTGTAACCTCGCATACTTATGGATTTCAGCTCAATGAGACATTTATTCCAGTTGTATTTTTTGACCAGCTCTCTATCCTATTCTTACTGGGAGGAGAATTTCAAGACTTTATAAAATGACTGTTTAGTGATGACTTATTTATTCCATTAATCCATAATACCGAAACATTTGTGGAAATTATGGAACTCAGTTTCAAGTTTGTGTCTTTTTTTTTAAATGAATAATTTAATTCCAAGCCTTATCAGTTAAACATTACTAACTTTTTTTTTAATTGCCAATAAATACAAATGTTAAGAGTGATACTTTGTAGTTTTTAAGCTTGCAATATTATATATTTATACTTTTCTATTTTTGAGTGATTGTATTTAAATAAAAAAAAAAACAAGTCTTAATGTTTCTGATTGTGTTTTCTTTCTAATTTCAAAGTATTTTGACTTGAAAGTTACTTATAAGGGCTATATTCAATGTTACAGGGTTATTAAAAAATTTAGCTGTTCCCCTTATAGAATCCTTACATGATTCAACTGTGTAGGTTCTTTGGACACTATAAACCCTATAACATTGTGTCATTTTTTTATTTTTAAAAATAACTTAGTCTTGTACAAATGCACTCCCCCCCCCTCTTCTTAGCCTCAGCAGAAGTTGCATGGATAATGTAACATCATGTAATAGTAAATCTATTGTAGTTAACTATGAGCTTAAAGGCAACTCCAAACTTTTACCTTGTTTGTATTTAATTATGAACTTAAAGGCAACTCCAAACTTTTACCTTTTTTTCCTCTTTTTTGGCTCTGAAGTTAACTTGATGTTGGATACTTCTAATGATGCATAACCCAAGTGTTCTTGACCTTAAGGTCATCATCTGATGAACACATATTCTATTTCTTGTTGGATAAGAGTTTACATGCCCCTGTTAACAGGAGTTTGAGAATCTTTTTTCCAAAAGTCATCTAGATAACCCAATGTTACCTTTTATGTAACACTGAGTTATCGTTATCGACAATTTACAATTGAGGCCATTTCTGTTTTTTTATTACATAATCATAAGCATTGAATCTATCAGAAGTGTGACTTCCTAAAAAAACAATGTGCTCTTGCAGTATTTTTGGCAAATTGACCTGAAAAGTTTTTCTGCTATACCCTGATATCTTCACTGGTAGATAAAGTGTGGTCTGCTGAAGTCACAAAGGAAATGGCATTTTAACCCTTTCTAGACCAATTCATTGACTTGGTTTCTCAATTGCTCTTAAGGTTCTTTGGGTCACTGGATGATTTATTGCTTCCAGAGATCTTTCATACTACTTCATGTTGTCAGGTAGGTTCTAACTAAGTGTTTTTGGATCCCACAAAGTTGTAATAGGGCATGGATCGCTATTAAAATTGAATGGATGAATGTGATAGTTTACTGTGAATTCATGAATTATTAAGGGGATGAATAATTTTTCATAGCCAGACAATGTTGATTCTGAATCATTTTTCCTTACTCTACAAAGTAAGTATGTTATTTAAGTATTTTTCATCTCAAGGTGTTTCTTCTTTAACCCTAAAATTTGCATTGATTGATTTTATTGATCTCACACTGAGGAAATTACTGCATTTACAAATCAATTTGATATGTAAATTTTAAAATTGTGACAAAAAACAACATAAACTAGAAAACATTTGTACATCTACTAATATATATTTTTTTACATCACTGTGTAATGTCGTTGCAATATTTGCCCTTTGGCTGAACAGCAGAGCCTGAACTAAAATAAAAGCTGACCTCATGTTGCCTTGCACACGGAGATAATCAATGTTCAACATACTGCTTGCAACTGTGACCCAGTTCCTGTTGTTAATCAAGCAGAAGCGCTTAATCCTTATCTTGTAACCACAACCCAAAGTTGTTCTAATGGTTTTGCAAATATAAAAGGCGTATATCCTATTACTGAATGTTAACATCATCCAACAGATAATATAGCAATAAATTAATCATATGTCATCTGATATTGAGACATTAACAATTGTGGATTTTTAAAATAACTTGTGCATATTCTGATCTGGGTTTACTACTGTTTTTATATTTATTTTCAGAGTTTCACATTAAATATTGTCTTAAGACCCTTTGCAGGATAGAGAACAGGTTAAATATAGAAATATCTACTCAATATAGTCCCATCATTCTTACAGTTTCAAAGACACTTGCACATCTCCTGGTTAGATTTCTACCATTTATATAACCATTAAATCAATTGTAGTTAATACCATATCATTAGTAAAAGCTTTTTTGACTAAATAAATTCAGCAGTTTGCATCCAGTCATGATCTGGAGGAATCTCTCCACCTGAATGACTGTAGGGAACGCTGACAGTGTTTTGCATGTAATTGTTAACTTTGCAGTCACACTTTAACCTTAACATGCAAATAGTGACAGAGGGAAGAAAAACAGGAGTAGATCTGGATCAAGGTAGATATATGCTATGATCTAACCGAGAGTTGGAAATTACATTGAAAAGTTTCCCTTGCAAATATAACTCGTCATTTGCTCAGTAAAACTCAGCCTCAACGGCTCTAATTCTGTACTCTTTGACATGCTAAAACTATGCTGTTCAGATGAAAACCTCTGACAACTTAACCATTGTTTGGCATCTTTTTGGTTTTTTAGGCATCAGTCTGAAATATAATTTTGAGAGGAAGTCATTTCTCAGCTCTCAGCTACATCAACTAGGAGCTATAAACCACTGAGCTCCATCTCACATGACTTCAAACTACAAATCCTATTTGTAATGCAATCATTTGCGTCATAACAAAATGTAGATATGTTGTGGACCCCTCAACATTTATACAGCAATCATTTATAACCAAATTTTATTTCCTTTTTTTTCTGTAAAATGAATACTTTTGATAAATATGCACTTGTATAACACTTTTCAAGTCAGTAGACTTGACCAAAGACCTTTACTACATTTAGTCATTCACCCAATTCATGCAAACATTCATACACTGATGGTGGCAAACTACATTGTAGCAACAACTGCCCTGGGGCTCAGTGACAGAAGCGAAGCTGCCGTACACTGGCGCCACCGGCCTATCTGACCACCATCAGTAGGCAAAGCGGGTGAAGTGTCTTGCCCAAGGACACAACGACACTGAAAGCCGGAGTATCAACCGTCAACCCTTCAATTTCAGGGCAAACTCCTACATCCGATGCCACTGTTGCTCCTGTTCTGCACTGCTATAGACATTCTGTGGATGTATTCATTTTGAAAAATTAATCTCTGTTAAGTAGAAAGTTGTAGCCATTACCTTTAATTGTCTTAATCAATACTAACAAATAACCTCAAAGAAAAGTTGTATAAAGTTAATTGTTTTAGCATCAAAGTTCATTGAATTACATATACATTATATAGCATTATCACACTCAGACTGATATTTGTAACTTCAATTCTGTCAATTTTTACACATTTCTGCTTAGACGTAATAAAACAACATTTAAGGTTGAAATTTTATATTAAACTAATAAAATAACATTCTGCAAGGCTTAATTGAAGGTTGTCTTGCTGTTTTTTTGCAAGAGATATTTCAGTTTTGACTAGAGTTGTATGTGTCCCCTTAATACATTTTAACAAATCCAAAGTAGAGGGAAAAATATTTAAAAGTATTCTTTTACAGAGAAAACAGATCCACAAGGCTAACATTATGCAGAGCCCTTGTGCTTAATTTCTCCTCTAACTTCTGAGGTCTCAGGGGTTGTCTTCATAATATCTTTTATGTTTATCTGATTTATCACTGAAGTAAAATTAAATTTGGATCTGCATCAATTTTGCTTACAGTAGAGCTACAATGCCTCAGCTGTGCATTCAGTGTTTTAGAAAACAAAGGATGCGGTACTTTAATGTATTATCACACTGTTTTACGTGTGTGATAAACAAGGAGTTACAGCTCTGAGTGGGTGAAACAGATGGTGGAAGTCTTTACTGGTTTTTTGATTGGAAACTGCTCATCAGAAAGGCAGCAGCACAGCTGACAGTCTGCTTGTCTTTTATTTATCTTCTTGACAGCTACTCTCTTGATCTCCGTCTCTTTGGCAGCCTTTCTCTGTGTCTCTGTCCCCAGCTACCGCCCAGCAAAGCCAGATTTGTGGAAACTCGCTACCACAGATACAGGTATCTTATCAGCTTGAAGGGTGACATGAAGGTCGAGCAAAAGAGGTGTATTCTCCTGATATTCAAACCAAGTCCTAAACAAATACCAAAAACCATAATTATGCACAACTGGAACCAAAATAGCATCTGCAGCTCCAAGGTTCACCTTTCCATGGATCCATCCATGGAGAGTCTGGGTGTTCATGTAAAAGAAGTAACAGATGGGCCTTCCACAAGTGACTTCCCCTCCCACATCACAGGGTAGATGTGGTGGTTGTTGGGAATTGATGCTAGATTGATGAATTGAATCAATTCAGTTGCAGAGCCACAGATTCTCCCTGTATTAAAGTGTTATTTGAAACACACATTCAGCATGGGGCCACATAAGGACAGGGACATTATGAAGAGATTAGCAATAAATGTACGTGGAAACTGTAATCTGAAATTGTACTCGCACCAATGTTGGTTGCATAACACACAGTCGTCAGCACTATTAGTCTCTCCCTGACTGCAGTGGTGTGGTTTTGCTTTTAGATTTGTTTTGTTGCAATCATTGAGGGATAAAATGTTAACCTATGTTTTCTGTTGCTATATGCCCATAAAATGGAACTAATTATGTGCCTCATTTTTATCTTATGTAATATATAATTATTATTTAGTGGCTCCAATAACACATAATAGGTGTGTTTGCTCAAGTACAATGCTTTTAAAAGCTACTGATACTAGTTAAACTTTTAATGAAGCAGCATTAATTTCTTACGCTACACTTGTATATATTATTACAGGCTATAAAACTGCTGAAACCCTTAAGTGAACTTAAATCAAGGTAAGAAAAATAAAACAAAGTGTTTGTGCAGTTTGTAGTAAAACTGTCTTTAACAACCTCTGTTATGCTACTGCAATGTACTTTTCTGTTCTGTGTTTTTCCTTCTCTTCACATTCTCTTGTTACTAGAAGGTGCTATACAAATAATTTTGTATTGCCTTCCCTTACCTCTTATCTATTAATTGATAGACCATAACAGAGAAATGTGCAATTATTAGATGCAAAATAAATACATATAATTCACATGTTTTTACAAACAGAAATCTGTGTGATGGTCATTAACGCTCAGCCTCCTTGAATCAAAACTGGACAAAACAAAATTCAGCTGCATTTTCAGCAACAAGTATTTTAAACTATTTCTATTCTGGTTTTGTACAGGTCATGGCTGATATTTCATTTAAATTTTAACTACAGTGTT